GTCATATTTATTAAAATGCTCTTATTTTCGCCATGAGATTTAAATTATAGCATCGGGTTCTTTGTATGTAACTCATTCGATCCGCTTTGTACACACGGTTTTGTTGAATAACAAGTAATAAATTACATAAAACATCTCATTCGGTTAATGGAATACCCATCGATAACTACGAATATCCGATCATACGTTCATCGCGGCCGCATCCTCGCGAAATCGGAGACTTAACGAGAAATCGGTTGTTATTATATAAAATCGCGTGTACCTATATGTACGTATACGGGAACGCGAGTAATAGTAATGTCAAGTAGGGGTCCTGTCTGTGACTTATGCTATTTCCAGAACTATTTGCTGAGCTCACTGTACCGGTTGAAAGACTTCCAACGCAGACAATTTTATTTATACGTATGCATATCATTAATATTACAGTCGTGTGTTTTTGCAACGCTTGTAATAAACAAATCCGTCGTGTTAACATTAAAATTTTAGTCGTATATTATTATTATAAATAACCTTTGCTCGAAACGTAAATAACGAATAAATAATAATTATCATAAATTTACGATTTAATGAAAGTCGCAGAAATACGGGCGAAGAACACTGCAGTGTCGGAGAACGGGCGACGAATTAAAATGTTTTTCTAAATTTGTTTTGTGAGTAAACGAGCGGTGTACGTAGACAATTATTATAGAGCTGTTTCAGATTATTTTCCGGTGCCAAGACATTAAATTTAAATTATGCACAGCTGAAATAATAGAATGAGTTTTTACTCATTTGAATTCGTTCATCCATTTTTTTTTTTATCATTTTATCGTAACCGTATATACCAGAAATATGCAATTTTTAAAAAATTATTCAACCGAGGACCGTATGTAATCTAACAAAGGAATAATTGCGTCGGTATAAAATAATATGTACTACAGTAAACGAGTGTATATATTTTTATTTTTTATTTTTATCAACACATGGCGATATCTTTCCAGCGAGTGCATCGTTTACCGTATCCACGCGGAAAACGTTCGTGTTTAATTTGAAACATATTTCAGCTAAAAGAACTACACTCTACGCTTTGAATATTGGTTTCAAAAAACCGTACACTCATATTTACCCGAACACTTTAGTCGGAAATAAATTACGAGTATTGTCTCTACCTTCCCCATCATAATATCCAAGCAGTGAAATTAAACAAAATGTCTGTCGAATTGACATTTGACACACCGCATATAATACGTTTGTAATAATAGGGGACAACGGGTAGTATCAAATTGCACCGCTTTACAGAAGATCCGAGCGTTCCGAAATAGGGGCCATTGCTTCCTCTTTAAAATGCACATTAGCTTATTATTGTACCGCATAAGACAAAAATGGTAATAAAAAAATAATAATAATAATAATACTCGTTAATGATCATAATAAATCATAAAAAATGACCTATGTATGGAGATAATATCACTTAATACTTGAATTGAACGCTCTTTTTATCGTTCCTAGAATGATCTTCATTAATTTAAACGCACTTGTCGCATAGTTTTTCTTTCATATCTTTTCAATGACATTTGATATGCGCGCCCGGAACGACATAAATACCTGATAACAAATTGTATATTTGACTCGTCACTGCGATGAAGAAAAAAATAAATATCGTTAAACGATGTAGAATATGTAAATATGCTACGCCGAGGAAAGTAGAAGTGCATTATTTTCTATTCCTCCGCGTAATCAGTACTCGCTCATCACCGCAGAAGTCGACCAACCGGATGTACGATCCAACGATCTATCGCAAATCACGGGTCGGGTTTGAAGTCGGTCCGGACTAAACGTTCAAGCCGAAATGAGAACCCCGAAAAATAAACCATGACAATTGTTGTGTCGCGAGAGGAACGCATACACCCAAAGAGTACGGACGGCTGAAGTTGGTAAACATCACATCGCACAATACGCAGTCATTCAAGCTTGGTCCAAAACATGTTCCTAATGCGATTTACGAAACAATATTCGTGTCACGATATCATGTGTGAATAGATAAACATGTACCTTAAGTCGACTCGGGATATCAGTGTGCGCCATATCCGGCCCAAGTTCCGGTCGATCGACCGTAGAGAATCGTCGTAAGCCACGGGAAATCCCTCGCACAAGGTACACCACCGGCACGTCAAATTTCCCTAAAAATCAATGCGCTTCTCGTGCGATAAAAAAAAAAAAAAAAAAAAAAAAACGTCAAGTGAAATCTCGTTTCCGTCCCTCGGGATAACGCCGCAACAAGGAACAGCAGTCGAACGTTTCGAAAAAAAACGGAGTCACTGCTTCTATACATAAAAATTGTAATAGCAATTCGTACGATATTATCGTTTACTTCGTTAATTAACTTAAACGTATACCACAGACTAATCGATAAAAATACGTCCGTTTTGTGAACACGTGTGAATATGGTAATGTTATGTTCAATTTTTATGGCCCTCGTTTGTATTGTTTGTCGCAGTGGTTAAACATGTGGTTTTCACAATACACGATACATTATAATGTTCATGAAATTCTCTAGTTTTTTTTTATTATTATTGGTAGCGTATCAGCTGAGATGGGATGAAAATGTTCATCCATAAATACGGAAAATATTAAATTTTTCTCTGATTGAAAAAACCATTGCTTCAATCATATACACTTAATCATTAACATTTTTTTAATTGTATTATTTATAAAAGCGACTGATACAGGTAGTGGTTTTTACATCCCAAATACGAAATGGTCGATGGAATTATTTAGTTTTCAACATAAAGATATTAATATAATAGATTATAATAACTATATATTACGTGATTATTATTACTTATATATTTCTGTAGTAGAAAATAAATCCTAAATAATATTTTCTGGTTCCAAACTATTCGATGTAATGTAATAAAATATGAATAATAGATCAATGATAAAGTTAAATAATAAAAAAATAACACATCAAATTTATAATTTTGAATCTACAATTATTTCAGGTAATTGTTATTTCAAAAAAGTCAAATACTGTGCAGTAAATAACTGTTCAGTTGTTACGAAAAACCGAATTTTATACTTATTTTATTTAATAAGAAAACTATAACAAGGAAAATAAATATAATAAGGAAAAAAACTAAAAAAAAACTAAAGACAATTATAAACTTTTAGTAGGCATCCTGTTCGAAATGATAGATGGAATAAATTTAAACAGATTTTAAAATATTAACTATTGGATTATTTATTTATCGAATTTACGCAAATGGATTAAAATTATACATTTCACATTGCTATTCAATCTTTAAGACAAAAAAGTGAATTAAAATTTTATTAGGTTGTTCGAGTTAAATTAACATAAATCCACTTATTTTACAAATTATGTTACAGACATACAAATTAAAATAGGAATCATTAGCCAATAAAATAATTTTTCCATTAAAGACACAATATCGTGTATCACAAAAAACGAAATTTTTTTTTTAATGTTTATCATCAAAAGGGAAGACTATTAAGTAATATAAAAGCTTTGGGTTTACAAAGTAATAAAAATTATCCCTTCTACGGAATTTGGTCCATTATTATGTTGTATTTGAAAATAAAAGTTTTATATTTATATTGAAAATATGGTAAATAACAATATTTCAGTAATAGGTATTTTATAAAATTAATAATATGAATAAATATATATTATAATATTCGTAGTATTTGTTTTCGGAACTATAATATATTTTAGATAGTCCTGATACAAAAAAATAGATATTTAAATATTTTTTTCAATCAATTCGCTTGGAATATGAATATTTTAAAATAATTGTGTTAATAATGACTGCATAATACAGTATAATACCATTTTCAATATTGTTACGTAAAAAGGACATTTTTAGCCATACTGTATTACCATACTTCCCGATAAATTAATATCCAATAGTGCATATATATACAGCGTGAAATTATTTACATAAGCCCTATCTAACAACTTTTTAATGTACACATTGTATTTATGTGTTTGCCAACACGTCTAAATCCATTTTGAAATATTACGACCAGAAGCATACAATCGAATGGTATGATAAATAATTTCGAGGATTATATAATAGTTTGAAAATGAACTAAGTTAATAACAATATTTGTGTTTACTTAAAAGTTAACAGATAAATTAGAGTCAAACACTAGGATATAATAATAACGTGTAATAATTCCTATTTCTTTTATATTTATGACTTCACTACAGAAAAAAAAATCATCGTTGCTTAAATTATATTATATTGTTATATAAATAATTTACAAATAATCAAAATAATAATAAACTATCGTCGAATTACCTTTTATCGTCCAATACTGGTTTTTAATATACTTTTTTTTAATTAGCTTTTTATTACCGTTCGACAAATCGAAATAATTTCAATAAAACTAAAAGCATATCTTCTGTTAAAGCATATGGAAAAAAAAAGGAGATCTTAATTTTTTAAGAGCTAACGCTCAGTATCTTGGAATAAATTATAGCAACAGGAAGAAATATAAAAACTTAATGTCTTTTTTTTTTTTCAAGCCATAAAAATCATTTAATGTGATGAACAGTTTCAGTTCGATTTTGTTCGATAACATTATTACGGAAATGGAAATGATGATCAAACTGTTTATAAAACGAAACGCAAAACCTAAAACTTATGATGACAAATTACAAGAACGTAACGCGTACGGTCACTCCACCGAATTTCCGTAGCAGTACCTCGGGCTGGAATAACATGTAACGCTATTAGGACACAACAATTAAATGAATCATTATATTTTTTATTTTTTTTTTATCATCACGCACTAATAAAATCGGTTAAATATAATTTTTTTAAACGTTATCTATTATGACATTAGTAAAACGATTATTATGTGACAGTCCGTGTGAGGATTAGAAAGTGGACCATGGAAATTCTAGAGGGGACCACGTGTTCAAAGCGCTTCGTCGGCGGACAATACCGGTAAGTACAAAAGCCGAACGCGTGGGCCGGCGGACATCAGTCGATCGTTTCGAACACAACAACATGAACGGTAAACTTCTGCGGGCCGCGTACGTGATCGGCCTGTGCGCTTTGGCCGCGGCCACCGACAACGTGAAACCGGAACCGGATAGCGACGAGAAGGGCCAAGGGAAGAGGGGCATCCTCGGCACGGGCTACGGATTCGGCCATACGAGCGGTGATGATTTCCAACACGGATACCAAGAGCGAGTCCTGTCCAAAATCATTGTCACGGAGGTGGCCCGGCCGTACCCGGTGCCGGTGGAGAAACGAGTCCCGTACCCGGTCCGGGTCGCCGTTCCCGTGGACCGCCCGTACCCGGTGCACGTGCCCCGGCCGTATCCGGTAACGGTGGAGAGACCCGTCCCCTACGAAGTTAAAGTCAACGTCCCGCGACCGTACACCGTGTACAAGCAAGTGCCGTATGAAGTCAAAGTTCCGGTCGACAAGCCGTACACCGTGCATGTACCGAAACCGTACGCCGTCTACGTGGAGAAGCGCGTGCCCTACGAAGTCACCAAGCACGTGCCGTATCCCGTCAAGGTGTTCGTCGACAAGCCGTACACCGTTCGCGTACCGGTGGAGAAACACGTGCCGTACCCGGTCGAGAAGCCGGTGCCCTACCCGGTCCAAGTGCCGGTTGACCGTCCGTACCCGGTGACCGTCGAGAAGCACGTACCGTACCCGGTCGAGAAGCACGTGCCGTACCCGGTCGAGAAGCATGTGCCGGTGAACATCGCGGTCCAGTACCCAGACCGAGAACGCGAAGGAACGTTCTATCGGCAGACCGAACCAAACGAGGTGCACAACGTAGCCGATCCGCGACCAAGCCAGCAGCTTCAACAAGAACGCGAGGAGCAACAAGAATATCAGCCACTGCAGCAGCAGCAGCAGCAACAACAAGAATATGAACAGCCGGAACAACATCAGGAATCCCAACAACCAGAACAGCAACAGCAGGGATTCCAACAGCCGGAACAGCAGCAGGACTACCAACAGCCGGAACAGCAACAGCAAGAAGATGAACAGCCAGAACAGCAGCAGGAATTCCAACAATCAGAACAGCAACGGCAAGAATATCAACAACCGGAACAGCAACAACAGAATCAACACCAGTCGAAACAACCGGAACAACATGAAGGACAACGCGACCAACATGAAGATAGCAATTACTAATCGATTTGTTTTTTTCTCTTGGCCATAACCAACCTAGTTCCCTTCCTCGTTGTTAGATAACGTTAGATAAATATCTTAAGCATTGTACTTGCATTTTGTATACGATTAAATTATTGTACATATAAAATTACAAAAACAAATAAAGACTTATTTTTTTAATATGAACGTAATTTTTTTTTTTTTTTTTTATAAAATTTAAATTTATCAATTATGTTCAACAATTATTTCTTCACTCGAATTATTGAGAAATCTATTTTATAGGGTTGAAATTTACCAGTTTATTATTGTTTCAAACAACGAATAGCTTATTCTTAAACAAGTATTATGAGAAAAGTTTTATTTTTCTTATAAAATTTATAATTTTCAAAATATTTTGATTCAGTGTTTTTGAAAAAGTTTGATGTTGAATCAACGATTCAAACGAGAAAACACTATATTTACTTATACAAACTATAATAAAATATATCTGATGAACTTCTACAATTATTTAAGTTGGCAGTTCAAATTCATTTTTAAATGAAAAAAAAAATATTCAATTGTAGTGTACCTATTCGTTTTATTTAACAAAATTTACTGGATTTCACCATAGTTTATCGTTAAAACGTATTAAAAAACATAACATTTGAACATTTTATCAGCATATTATCAACAATCATATTATTTTATGATTTTAATTAAATTTATAATTGATTGCTTAATACTGGTATTTACTCAATCAATTGATATGTATAATAGTAATAGTTTTTGTTTGATGATCACGATATCGGGCCGATAACCATAAAGCTGACGGTTTATAAGAGTGACAGACAGTCGGTCGAATTGAACATACTACAGACCGGGACAGCCGATAGACCTAATGAACAATAGTTCATAATGAAAAAACCATACTGTTGATAGGCTAAATGAATAACTTATTTCGTATTTAGTGATGAATAATGTAAAATACAAGCAATCAAAACTTAAAACATCATAAAATGTTTATAATTTAGAATTGATTATAAATGTTTTAATGATAATTGAATATAATTACTGTTTTCTTATGTTCTTTAAAATATTATTACTGGTATCGTAAAAATTATAAAAATTTATATTATAATGTTGGTTAAAACGGTTATCTACCCCATAATTTAATGTCAGCCCCATGCACTACCAGCCCATAAGTTGTCGGGCCATCGAACCTTTTTCCCTTTTTTGTTTAATACGTTTGGTTTCGGCCCAAAAAGTTGAGTTAAGAATACATAATTTTAAAAACTAATTTTAAATGCAGTAAAAATGCTCTTAGGTTAAATCATGTGAAATTAATAAAATATTTTATTGATTTTCAGGAATCGTACACACCAGATGTATAAATTACACATGCCGTTCGTCAATATTTGATTTACGCAGCTGCTTCAAAAAAGGAAACTGTAACGTCACATCAATGGAAGTTCTAACAGTAAGTGGCAGTGAGAGGTGGTTGAAATTTGAAGCTCCCTTTTTCGTTATAGGAACAATCATACGAACACAATACAAGTAATACACAGGGCCAAAAAATATATTAAGTTATAATTTGATAAAAAAAGAACCACCGGGGAGGCATCGTCTCTATTATTCCGACTTAAAGCGAACAATACGTCGTTTTTTCTTAATGCTTCTCGCTGTTGCTGCTTTCTAATGTTCTCATAGTATAAAGAATTATACTTCTCGTGGATTAGGTAGCTCTATCATTGAAAAAGGAAAAATATCGGTGGAGAAAAATAAAAAAATTATTAGCAACATTTCAACATTAGATAAATAATGACTTGCGCAGTATTGACTTATCGGTCTTGTAATTTAATTTTTTTCATCTCGCATTCTAATGCATTACCTACACTAAAATAGAGCTATTCAAGTGTATTGTATGTGTTCCTGTACACTTTCATAAGTTCTAAATTACTTAAATTTCTCGAGATTTTGAGAACTAATATTTTGAATTCGTGTTGAAATTTCTTAAAATAAAATTAACAATAAAATTATAAAGGAAATCTTTATTAGATTATTTATTCACATGTATAAAATTCAACAATAATAGGGAACATTTAGTTTTGGTAACAATATTTTAGTAAATATAGATTTTTACACGTATACAATTCAACAAAAATAGGGTAACATTTGATTTTAGTAAAATCATTGTAGTACTTATTTGTTAGATTATAACACAGAAAATTTTCAAATCAATAACTACCATGTTCGTATTTCTCGTGATGATGCTCTTCTTCGTGTGGAACTGGCACCGGCACTTCGACTTTAACAGGAACTTTGACCAGGTACGGCACTGGTTTCTCAACGTGGTACGGTACCGGTTTGTCAACCGGGTACGGGACGTGCTTCTCGACGGTTACCGGGTACGGGCGGTCGACCGGTACTTTGACCGGGTAAGGCACTCGCTTCTCAACCGGGTACGGGACGTGTTTCTCTACCGGTACGTGAACGGTGTACGGCTTGTCGACGGGCACCTTGACGGTGTAAGGCACGTGCTTGGTGACTTCGTAGGGGACGCGTTTCTCCACGTAGACGGTGTACGGTTTGGGCACGTGGACGGTGTACGGTTTGTCGACCGGCACCTTGACTTCGTACGGCACTTGCTTGTACACGGTGTACGGTTGCGGGACCTTGACTTTGACTTCGTAAGGGACGGGTTTTTCTACATGCACCGGGTACGGCTTGGGTATGTGCACCGGGTACGGGCGGTCCACGGGCACGGTAACTTTGACAGGATACGGGACGTGCTTCTCCACTTTTACCGGGTACGGCTGAGCCACTTCCTTGATGATCGTCTTGGAGAGAACTTTTTGCTCGTGCCCGTGGTAGAAATCGTTACCGCTTACCTCGTGACCGAAATCCGACCCGAAGTCACCGCTTGTGTCAACGATTCCTCTCTTTTTCTGGTTGTTGCCGTCATCGGATTTGTTTTTTTCCGGTTGACCGGTTCCCAGAGCGAAGGCGCATAGTCCAACGACGCAAACTGTACGTAAAAGCATCTTCATTGTCTCGAATGGAATAATCGACTGATGCCTGCTGGTCCGCTTGCCTGGCTTTTTGTAGTAGCCAGTCGTGTCCATCGAGGAAGAACTGTACTATGTCCGCCCCCCTCTCAGAAACTCCACTAATCTACTTTCTACCGTGCATTATCGTTTACTGAAGATCCTACTAATTTTCTCATTTCGTAATATTTCTTAAGGAAATGTGTAACTAACTGTATTTGGTCATTGACTCGGATTACGCGTCAGATAAGTTGTTATAATCTTCTCCTATTGTAATTATTTTTAAAATCAGAAGCACAGAGTATCTTACAACAGATATAATTTCAATTATAACTGCTATCATATAGCACATATGATAGCAGTTATAATTGAAATTTCTATCAAAGCATGTCCGATATTTTTTCATTCATTGAATTCTAATAATCGTAGTACAAAACAACACGGTATCATATTGTTTCATGTTTTAATATTGAAAACGATTTGATATCAATTCGAATAAATTGTTAACGATTTGTAATAGTTGAAATTTATCATTCGTTAAAACGTGATAAAATGTAATATCTTATATTATATGCGTATATACGCGTATTATTTCATTAAAATATAATTTGGAAGTGTATTATTCTATTATTATTGAATAATGTACTAGTGTCCAATAGCATAGATTGTTCTAGTAAGTTCTAGGTATTCGAGCGTTGGAATATTAATCAGATGGTAATTTATGATGATTAAATTCAAAGATTATTTTAATTATTTGTTTAGTTTGTTTATGTAAATATACTATATGATAACAGACATTGAGCAATTTTAAATTTATTTAACTATGTATACACTACACATATCTGTATCAATATTTCTCTGCAAGGTATGCGTTTGTTTTGCTTAGCGATTATTTCAATCGAAAAAGTAATGGAATTAAAATAATATAATGAGAATAGCAAAATATTCTGTTGAAAGTTCAAGACATGGAATTTAATATATGTAATATAATTCTTTATGTTGTACATAATTTATAATCTTATACTCTTAATTAATTCATTTTACAATACAAAACCATTGTGAAAGTTATCTTCGTTATAAATGTATTGCATTTTTCGTTTTTTTTCACAATTTAAAAGATTTATGATAAATATTTTGATATAAATTTTAAGAACTGTAAACTGTTTTATGGAATGATACAACCAATGTACCAACAAGATAAGATCTGCAATAAAAACTGATAAGAATAAAAATAACTCAGAAATTATTTACTACTACAATAAATTGATCTAGTACATTCGATAAAAGTATTCTACTCAACTATTAACTATGATTTGTATAATACAAGAAAGAAGAAAGAAAGAAGGTTTTCTTTACGTCTCTTGAGAAAATCAAAATGTTCGGAAATTAGATAAATTAGATTGTTCAATTTTGATAAGATGTCAAAAAAAAAAAAAATTTAATTCAAAATAGTATATGTATGGACTTGATTTTAAAAGATCGAAAACATATCACGTTAAAACAATTTTTTTTACGATCTTATAACTAATTACATTTTATTAATCTAATAAATAAGATTTTGGAATATTAAATTATAATGTTTTAAACGAAGAAAAATTGCTCAAAAATGACAAGATAGATTATTTGTTAGCAAGGATAAAACAAATAAAAAAAAAAAACCGTTGATGATCAATAAAACTTAATGGGTTTATTTCTAAAAAATAATTGCTGTCACTTGGTAACTATTTATAATTGGTTATGGAAAAACTTCGGAAAAAGTTATAGAAAAAAAAGTATTATCAATAAGAAGCCGTTAACAAGTTATGTAGAATATCATTTAACATACCTACCTGTTGTCAATAATTTATAACTGGGACTCGTTAAAATGTGTAATATTTATGTTGATGTTTAGACTCATTCATGTTCTATGTACGTAATGATGTTATTACAGCTACCCAAATCATAAGTTTAATCAAAAATATATTAATGTGTATATTTCTGTTAGCCTTGACTTGGATTCAAAACGTCAACATAATTTTATTAGAGATCACAAATGTTTGGGTTAAAAAATACGTAAAATTAAAATGAAATGTATAAAATATCATGTATAAGTTTTAAATATAAGTAACTTATATCATTTTTTTTTTTTATGAATATCTCTTGTTATTAAATGTTATTTTTGATGCCAGTAGATTATGAGTATGAATATTTCGATGAATTGATTTTCATTCATATACTCGAACTAACACCATATGACTGAGCTTGATATGGTTTAAAAGGGTCTGTTCAATCTTGTTTAGTCGGTCATTATGAAAGTACCCAAAGATAATCTATGTGAATGCTCCATTTTTTCAAAAATTAATCCGAGCTCAAAATACCATAAAGGTCAATGATAATGACAATTAAATGTTATCAAATATCTTAAAATTTTGCATTATATACAACTCCCAAACCATATAATAATAAATCATAATTGGTCAGCTTGCAAGATAAGTCATTGTAATAAATTTGAATACAGAAAATCGAATGAGCGTGTAGTTATGTACTTAATTAAATTACATCTATGTTATACAACATTTAGTACCATGTATGAAACAAAATAAAATATTGCTAAACACCAATACTGATATACATCATAAAAGTAATAATATTTTTTTTTTCACCATCCACGTGAACTGATATTCCGTAAGGCGTATAAAGATAAAGTTCAAAGTATGTACTAAAAAATAAGTCTTTATTTTGATTTAATTTTCAATTTACAAGTTTTCATAAGTCAACAAAACTTAGGTATAAACGATAATTTGGTAACAATAACAATTTAAATTGTAGATAAAATGACTAGCAAAAATTACAATATTGCTATCGTTAGTAAATACTGTGTTTGTTTTGGCCGTGTTCATATTGATGACGGTCTCCTTCGTGATCACCATGTTCTTCGTACGGTACTGGGACTTCGACTTTCACGGGGAATTTGACTGGGTAAGGCACTGGCTTCTCGACATGGTACGGCACCGGTTTGTCGACCGGGTACGGCACGTGCTTCTCGACGGTCACCGGGTACGGACGGTCGACTGGCACTTTGACCGGGTAAGGTATTGGCTTCTCGACCGGGTACGGGACGTGTTTCTCTACCGGTACGTGAACGGTGTACGGCCTGTCGACGGGCACCTTGACGGGATAGGGTACGTGTTTGGTGACTTCGTATGGCACTTTCTTCTCCACGTAGACGGTGTACGGTTTGGGCACGTTGACGGTGTACGGCTTGTCGACCGGCACCTTGACTTCGTACGGCACTTGCTTGTACACGGTGTACGGTTGCGGGACCTTGACTTTGACTTCGTAAGGGACGGGTTTCTCTACGTGCACCGGGTACGGCTTGGGCACGTGCACTGGGTACGGGCGGTCCACGGGTACGGCCACCTTGAC